TCAAAAAAAAAAGAAAAGAGGGGCTGGAGAGATGGCTTAGCAGTTAAGAACACTGGTTGTTCATACAGAAGTCCCAGGTTCGAGTCCCAGCACCCACATAGCAGCTAACAACTGTCTGTAACTCTGACAGCCTCTTCTGTCCTCCGCAGACATTGCACAACACAGGTGTGCACTTACATACGTGCAGACATATACGTATACACATAAAATAAAAATAATAAATAAAAAAAAGAAAGACAATTATTCAGCCTGAATAACTGGTTCTTATTTACTAGACACACCAGCACTTGGGAGGCTGAGATAAGAGGACTGAGAATTTGAAGCCAAAAACCCCAAGCATGGGCCCCAGGGCCAGGCTTCCCAACTGGCTAGTAGGGGCCCAGACCTTAGGAGACTGCCTGAGAACACACGACTCCAGCCTCTGTGGGCTATGAAATGGAAGCAACCTAAGTGTCCCTCAGCTGATGAGTGGATAATAAAAATGTGGTACATTTACACAATGGAGTTTACTCAGCAGTAAAGAAAGATGAAATCATGAAATTTACAGGTAAATGGATGGAAGTAGAAACTGTTTTACTGAGTGAGGTAACACAGACACAGAAAAACAAACAATATATGTTCTCTCTCATTTGTGGACTTTAGCACCAAATCATTATATATGAGTATATATCCTGATATGACCGCAGGAGCCAGGAAAATGGAAAGGAACCAGGGAGGTAAAGGGAAAGAAGGAATCTGAGAGAGAACAACAGTGGGAGAAAGGTGTTACCAAGGGAAAAATGGATAAAATGGGGGTATTTAAATGGGACGGGGAGAGGGAGAGTTATACAAGGAACTATGGGTGTGAAAGGAAAGAAGCTCAAGAGAGTGGGGATCACGGAGACAGATATTATCAAGGGGAAAATGGGGAAAATGGGGGTAAATTTAACTGGGGAGGGAGGACAGAGAGCTAGACAGGGAGAGAGAGAGAGGGGAGAGATAAATAATGCTTAGCTGGTGTGAAAAACCAGAGGGAAATGTGTTAGTTTAAAAACCTATTGAAAAATTACACATACAACATCTCTACATAAGTCCATGTGTGTAGCTGAAGACTATATAACAAGAAACAGTGCCAGACAGGCAAAATCTCCCTTTGAGTTGTTGGTCAGAGATTCTTAAAATTATACAGGCTATTGCCACAGCCCTTGATTGCCTCCTACAGCTTGAGACACAGAACTTGGAGCAATGGAGCTGGAACTGACCTGGAAGCCACCTCCCTGAAGGCTAGCTCTCATAGTTTTGGAGAACACTGTACAAACTGCTAAAGGAGAACATCAATCAATGGTCCAACCCCAGCTTTAAAGCCTAATAATCACAACAATGGTCAGCACAGCAAGCCATATTGGGGCAGTAGGGGCACTTTTATCTTGGGGGTAATCAACAGCTACCTAACTGGACCTAAAGTTGACTCAGTGGGAGGGAACTTGTGTGGTACTGTAAACACAGTCAAATACACATGACTGGAGAGGTCATAGATCTTAGAGAAAACCCCTAGACGAATTCATTTTCCTACTATGTGCTAACTATGGATCCTTATATTTATAGACAAGTATGCCAGTCACCACTCATCAAAGAAGTTTCCTTTGCAACAGTTGGAGACTATTACAGAGTTCCACAACTGGTCACACACAGAGATTTAATATCTGTGAAATGCCAAACCAACTACAATGGAACCTCTACACCTAAGACTCATGGAACATAGAACAAGGGGTAGAGAGAATACTAATGCATCTCTCAACTCTCATCAACAAAGCTCCTTCATGCAACAGACAGTAATGAACCCAGGGCTCAGGAACCATTTCAGAAGAGAGGACAGAAAGACTGTAAGAGCTAGGGGAGGAGGTGCATGACCATACAGACGTAGTCTTACAGGCTTCTGGGACCTTACTTATATGAACTTGCAAGAATGGTGACAGCATGCACAAGACCAATGCAAACTCAAGCAGATAAAAACCCAGCACAGAACTGTGGAAAAGGGCAGCAGGCCCCAATCTTAGCTGAAGAACTATTGGGCAACTGATTACTACTAGGTGAGGAAGAGCTGATTTTTTTTAAGGGCATGATTCTAGATAGACTGACTAGACCCCAGTGCATGAACTTGAAGGGCATCAGGAAACACTAACTTGACTCAAAAGGCCTTAACATAAATGACAGAATGCATGAAATCCAATGGGGTGCTATCAGAGGGTGCTGATGGGGAAGGGGGTACAAAGATGATTAAGATGTTGTTTATGAAATACACAAAAATTCAATAAAAAAAAAAAATTTTAAAGCCCAACCATGGGGG